TCCCCATCTCCCCCTCGCCATCTCCTCCATCATCTCCCTCCACCAGCGTCCCTCCACGATCTCCCGTCGCACCATCTCCCTCCACCAGCTCCCGTCCACCGTCTCCCTCCAGCATCTCCCTCCACGATCTCCCTCGAGCATCTCCCTCCACCATCTCCCTCCACCATCTGCCTCCACCATCTCCCTCCAGCATCTCCGGCCACCATCTCGCCTCCACCATGCGCCGTCCACCAGGTTCGACGGACCGGGTGCGTCTGCGCCGGCGCCGTCCCCTCCGGAGCCCTCCCTCCTCGACACCCCCGCCGCCGCCGCGACCGGCGCCATCGACGCTTTCGCCGACTTCGGAGGCGGAGGAGGCGGAGGAGGCGGAGGCGGAGGAGGCGGCGCCGCTGACGACGACGATTTTGGCGACTTCGGCGGTTTCGACGGCCCGATGCCGGCGGCCGGCGCTCCCTTCTCCGCGCCGAGCCTCGTTGCGAACGACGACGACACGTCCCGCTCCCTCTCCGAGCGGCTCTCGAGGAGCGACTCGGCCCACCATCGACGCCGTGCCGCCGGCAATAGGTTCCGCTCCATCGCCGTGTTGCGTCCGCCCGCCGACCCTGCGATTGGATCCGAGTCGCCGGTGCCGGAAAAGCGCGCCGGGCGCGCTTACTCTGTTTCTTTTTCTCAGCGCGATTTCTTTTTTGTAGGTGCCGGTGGGCGAGCTGTCCGCAGGGTGTGCCTCGAGGACACGCTTGCCACCCTGTCCTCCCGAGTAGAGGGTGCACTCCGTGGGCGGTGGTCATCAGGAGACATTTCCTAGACACTTCCTAGACACTTCCTAGAGGGTGCACTCCGTGGGCGGTGGTCGACAGGTGCCTCGACGGCACTCTGGCGCAGCTGCTCGCTGCGGGGAGGTACGAGGAGGCGCTCGCGAGCCAGCAGCACCTCGATGCGGTCGCGCAGCGAGAAGCCACTTCCTAGACACTTCCTAGACACTTCCTAGACACTTCCTAGCACCTCGGTGCGGTCGCGCAGCGAGAAGCCACTTCCTAGACACTTCCTAGACACTTCCTAGCACCTCGATGCGGTCGCGCAGCGAGAAGACGCAGTGGCTGCGTGGGAGGGGAGGGGGGCGCTGTACAGCGGGTCGCTGTGAACAGGTCGCGCAGCTGGCGGTGACATTTCCTAGACGCTTCCTAGACACTTCCTAGAACTGTGAACAGGTCGCGCAGCTGGCGGTGCAGCAGAACGAGTACGAACGAGCCAAGGAGAACGACGAGCTGGAGGAGGCCATCCACATCAAGAAGGTGACACTTCCTAGACACTTCCTAGACACTTCCTAGAACGACGAGCTGGAGGAGGCCATCCACATCAAGAAGGTTGCGCCGCCATTATTAGTATCAGTATCAGTATTAGTATTAGTATTCGCCCGCCCCAGTATTCATCCCCATCAAGAAGGTTGCGCCGCCCGCCCGCCCCTAGTCTTCAATCAGTCGTTAAGCAGCTCGAGGAAGGCCGTCACACAAGCACGGTGGCGCTGTCCACTCGTCCCTAGTCAATCAATGATTAAGGGGTTAGCTCGAGGGGGCGATGCGTATCAAATCGGTGGCGCTGCCCACCAGTACTACTATAGGACCAGCACCCAGTGCCAACACCAGTCACCAGTCACCAGTCACCAACCGCCGGCCTGCCGGCTGCCGACTCACTCTCCCTCCACCTAAAGGTGGTGCTGCCGGCGCTGCGCGCGCGGCTCGCCTCCGACCCAGCCGTCGAGGCCCAACCGCCTCCTCCTCCTCCTTCCGTCTCTGAGCGGCGCCTCTTCACAGCGACGCGCCGTGAAGCAGGCGTGGTCGCGTCCTGTGGCGCCTCCGTATGCGACGGCGGGCACTCTGGCGGCGGAGGCGGCGTCGCGCTCTCGCGAGGTGGACGCGTGTGAACAGCGTCTCTTCACACGCCCGGCTTTGGAGCAGGCGGTGTCGCGCTTCGGTGAGGCCGAGGCGGCGCCGTTCGCCCGCCTCTGCTCTGCCGACCTCTCGTCCGTCGCGGCGTCCGACCTGCCCGCCGCCGCGGCGAAGCTGCGGCGTCTCCGCGCGGCGCACGTGCTGCTGATGGAGACGAGTCGCGAGGAGCAGGTCTCGAGACCGGGCCGAGATTGCCCCCCTGCACCCGCCCTCTCCCATTTGTCCCCATATTCCAGAGTGGCGAGTAAGACAGTTGGACCCAATTGCCCGATTCTATCCATATGGACACACGACAGCTA